CTGCACAATTTCAGTAACACTTTACTGCCAGTTGGTCGATCGACGTACAAAGTTTCTATTGTGGTGCTGGTAGACTTTGTGATCTCCGCATTTCCTTTGGTAGCAGTAGCACTCATTTCGCTATTAACCTCATGCAGAACTTCTAGATGTCTCCTTTGACACTTCTTGCATTTCGCCTTAAGAGTACACTGACCTGTTTGGTGATCGCGCCCACATTTCCAACATCTACAATTGGACCTGATCCAGGTCACAATCTGCTCTTTGGACAGCAGCTTGAAGTTTGAACACTGATTGAGATAGTGCTGAGTTGTATTACAAAAGGGGCAGTATTTCTTTGGTTTCTCTTGTGATCTCACCTCATGAACTGCATTTCTGTGAATCGATTCATCTTTGGCAACTGGCTTTTGCTCGCTTCCATGGAAGATGGCAGTAGACTTGTTAAATACTTTGGGTACTCTTTGCTGGTCTTTGCGGAAACTCTGCCTCTCTCTGCCTACGTCAACACTGAACTGGGTACCGTCCTCTTGCACCCTCATCTCATACTCCAACCATTCTGCAAACTCAAACAAAGTAGGGATAGGTGTCTTGAGTGGATTGACATACCTCTTAAAGTTTGCTCGGAGATCGTGAGGTAATTTAGCGAGGAGTCGGGTAACATGAGACCCACAAGTCAGTTCTGTATGTCCAGGACTTCCCAACTGATCCAGCATTCCAACCAGGGCCCGTACCTTTAGTGCGAAAAGCCTAAATGCTCTGGTATCACCACTTCTTATGCTGGGTCCATCCATCAGGACAGCAATGCGTTGAAGTGCAAGTTGATGGGGTTGTCCATAGAGTTCTGTTAGAGCCTGCATGGTATGACTGTAAGGGTACCTGCTGTTACTGTAAGAGTCAGCAATGAGCAATGCTTCCTCAAGCTTCAAGTGGTCCATCAATATCTGGAACTTAAAGCGCTCTGTAGCGTCGGCGGGCAGGAGATTGTCAAGAGCTACCTTCAACCTGGCGAACTCCCGTGGATCCTCTTTAGTGAAGTTAGGAATGGTAGGGGTTGGACCACGATAAGTGTTCTCTTGACTGTGTGGCAATGAGGGACGATAAGACACGAATGTTCTCTGTTGCCTGGAGGGGCTGTAATAGTGTTCGTCAGCACGCTCAGCCCTCTGGGCTGTTGATGCGCGTTCTGGCGATGGCGAAGACGGTCTGGATGGATTGGAACTCGCCTTCATCCTCTGCAGCTTGTGGATAATCTCATCTATTCTGTCCTGTTGACGTTCTGAGTGCAACTTATCCTCACTGTGTTTCACTGACTTATCTCTCTCATAACGTTGATCTCTTTGATCTCTTGTTGACGTTACTCTGGAGCGTGACAGTGAAGTAGAGACTCGTTCCTCCCTATTACATGTTGAATGTCTGGGCAAAAGAAATAGTTGAGATGGAGACACTGGTCTTGGAGAGTGAGCTGCGGAGTGCTCTCTGAGGTCATGTCTGAGTTTACGGTTCTCCTCTTCCAGATCCTTCAGCCGCATCTGCAGTACTTCAGCAGAGAAGTGTGGATTTCCCTCGTCCAGATCCTTCAGCCGCATCTGCAGTACTTCAGGAGAGAAGTGTGGATTTCCCTCGTTGGCAGAAACATGATCAATGTCAGTAACAAGGGTGTTGCGAGGTTGTAATGGACCTCCTGTAGCCCCTATTAGCTGTTCTCCTTCGTTGGAGTGGTCTGGGGGTGTGTGCGATGATCGGTGCTCTGGCACATAATTCACCTCATAGTCGTCGAGGTACTTTGGCATTTGCGTTCGGCGACGGGAGCGAACTGTAGCATCACTATTCTCCTCACTATGTATGGACATTATGTTAATTCAGAAGTTGCCCAATCCGGCTCGAAGGACCATATAAAGAATTAAAGAATTATTATGCTCTTAGGGCTAATTAATACCCGGTGGCAACCACCAAAGATTGTCCGATCAGAACAATAAAGGATGTCCGTTTAGGAGGAGCCAGATGCACACACCACTCACAGACCACCCATTTCAAACATGAACATAATTTAATTAAGTGTGGTTCTAGAAAGAGAAACAACAATAAAGAAAGTATAAATATACACAATGATAAACATCAATATGCAAATGAATACAATACGTATTTCGTATGACATTAACACTGGAAATTTGTCTATTCAGCGATCGTACAATATGATTAGCTTACAGACACGTGTGCTACTGCATAGCCTATGTGATAATCACATCTTTAACGACAAATTTACGCACTCTCACAGTGTAAAAACACGGTATAATGATGCAAGATTAACTTACTCTTTGATGCACGCACACATGTGATTAGTCATTATTAAATCGCGGATGAACTGGTGTTATCATCGCGTCAGGTCCGCTCTGCGCTTATAATAACAATAGCGCTCGTACTTCCCACTAAATCGCGTCAGCATCAGGGTCCTAAGCACCGTCGGGTCCTTACAATAGACGAATGACTTACTGCCTGAATGAATAACAACAGGGAATAAACTATCACACATACAAAGAACTATATGAATTTAGCAACTGTAAACATATTAATGATTGTGAACATTAAATACTGGCCCTCATTTTAGTACATCTAGCATCAACAAGGCATTTTCGCCCACAGGACTGCCGCATACTGGATGTTTTTCCCTTTTCACACCATTCTTTGTAAACCCTAGAAATGGTTGTGCGTGAAAATCCCAGTAACTGAGCAGATTGTGAAATACTCAGACCGGCCCGTCTGGCACCAACAACCATGCCACGCTCAAAATAGCTTTCTTTTTCTTTTTCTCAAAATAGCTTTCTTTTGACCTTTCTTTCCCATTCTGACATTCAGTTTGGAGTTCAGGAGATTGTCTTGACCAGGACCACATCCCTAAATGCATTGAAGCAACTGCCATGTGATTGGTTGTGTAGATAATTGCATTAATGAGAAAATTGAACAGGTGTTCCTAATAATCCTTTAGGTGTGTGTATGCTGTTTTAAACGGCGCTGGTCTGCCTGAAGTACATAAGACATACCAAGATTTACCAAGTTCCCTTGCTACTTATATCAGAGGCACGAAACAAGCAAGATTATCCAGGCCTACCCAGAATAATTAGGGTTACAGGCTTACACATAAACAAGCAGATGACACAGATCATGCATATCAATCCTCCTGTCTCTGACCCAGTTACCATTGAGGATATGAATGATTTCATGTATCTTGGCAGCTTCCTTTGCACTGATAACAGTGCCCAAAAAGACATCAAGGACCGAATAAATAAAGCAAGAGGAGCTTTTAGCAGACTCGGAACCATCTGGAAGTCTAAACAGCTAAGCCATAAGCTTTACAACAGCAATGTTAAATCAGTGCTTCTGTATGGCTCTGAATGTTGGAGAATAGTGAAAGTAGGTATGAGCAAGGTAGATGCCTTCCATAACAGTTGCCTTAGGAAGATCTGCAACATCTACTGGCCCAATACCATCTCTAATATCAACATGAACAAAAAGACACGATGCAAGAGCATATGTCAGGAGATCAAGATACAGCGATTAAGATGGCTCGGACATGTACTCAGGATGTCTCAGGAAAGGATACCTATAGTGACTTTGCGTTGGACACCACCTGGCAAGCGCAAATGAGGCAGGCCAAGAACAACATGGTGACGGACAGCGGCGACTGAGCTGGAAAAATAAATGTGATCTTACATTTTCACAACTGTTTTCCTCATCATTTTACAGTTAAAACTCCAGGAACAATTTCTACTCAACTTTATATTTTCACTCAACTTGGTTAACTGTACATCCTGGGGGGTATTGCACAAAAGCAAGATAAGGGATTAAGCTGGGATTTTCCAGTTATCCTGGCTGAATTTAGCCCTTACTTGGTTGCATGAAGGGAGGCTAAATTAATCTACATTAAGTTACTATGGAGATTTACACTTTGCAGCTAGCCTGCTCCGGAGCAGGCTAACAACCAGGCTAAGATTAATCCTAGTGATTTATCGGCTAGTTCCTCCCTAAATCCTACTAGATATTAATGTGTTTTAGTCACTTCATGGTCCTGCATTAAAATACTAGATATACTGTCATTCATCTAAGTATGCGTACTGTTATTTTAGTTATTATTGAAAACTGCTGTTCATTTCACTGTCAGAGGTTTGATGAATATATATATATTATTCGAGATTTAAAGCGTTTATTGTCATACACCCAGTGAGGAAAGCAGATTTTCCTGAGCAATTATTACTTTGCTGTCCACAATGAATGCCAACACAGTGCAAAATAACTATACTATACAATATGAGAAATAGAATATAGACTATGTATATCTATATATGCAAGTATAGAGTAGAAATGTACTGTTGAATGAGAAAAAAAAATTTTTGCAGTTGATGAGATAATAAGAAATGGCTCATGAAGTTGCAAATGTGGTTTCAATTAAGTCCGTAACGAGGTCAATATGTAGTATATATAGACTAAAGATTTGTGTGTTTCCTATTCACAATGGCTTGTCCTTTGTTGGATGATGTAGTTGATGAGGAAGTTTTAATACTCAGACGAGCATTCAGGCATGAAAGAGTCTTCCGAGATAGGGCAGACCCATTGGCCTTTTCAGACGAATATCTGACTGAGAGGTACAGATTCTCAGGTGATGGCATCAGATATTTGTGTAGGCTGCTGGGTCCAAACATACAGCACAAGACAGCACGGAGCCATGCTCTCATTGTCCCACAGATGGTCTGCGTAGCACTGCGATTCTTTGCAAGTGGCATGTTTCTGTATTCTGTCGGTGATGCAGAAAACCTCAATAAAGCCACTATTTGCCGCACAATAAGAAATGTAAGTCTGGCATTGAAATCTCTTGTGCACATATTTATCACCTTCCCTGGTCACAGAAGATTCATCCACATCAAGGAGGAGTTCTACAAGATTGCAGGTTACACGAATAATAACAGATTACTACAAAATGTTACATTAGCATAGTCACAGTATGACACTCATTATTTTGTGTTACAGCTTTTCCTAATGTAATTGGTACAGTGGATTGCACCCATATTCGTATCCAACGCCCCTCAGGGGCACATGAGGGAGATTATGTTAACAGGAAATCCTTCCACAGTGTCAATGTTCAGGTAAGAATGAGTTATGGTTACTGTCAGCTACATAATTATTCTGTGCATTAAATGACCTTAATAGGCTATATATTTTTACAGATGATCTGTGATGCTGACTGCCTTATCACAAATTTAGAGGCAAAGTGGCCTGGCTCAGTCCATGACTCCAGAATCTTTCGGGCAAGTAGAATTTACCAGAGACTCTCTCTAGGTAAGCCACCCCATTTTTTTTAAGCACCTTGAACATCAAGGGTACAGTACTTGTAAGAATTATGTTTTGTATTCGCAGGTGAGTTCTCTGGTGTGCTGCTGGGGGACAAAGGCTATGCCTGTGAGACATTTCTGATGACTCCCCTTACAGACCCCCAAACCCCAGCACAGCAAGCTTACAACCATCCCCATGCCAAAACCAGGGCTCGAATTGAAATGACCTTCGGCCTCCTGAAATCACGATTTCAGTGCCTGCACCACCTGAGGGTCTCCCCAGACAGAGCATGTGATGTGACTGTTGCCTGCACAGTGCTGCACAATATTGCCAGCCTAAGAAAAGAAAGGGCTCCCAGAGTTGCTTTGGATGTTAATTGGGACAATGCTGCCATATTCCCAGATAACAGAAATGGAAGACTTGTTAGAGAACAATACATTGCAAATTATTTCAGTTAATTTAGTTTTGATTTAGCCCATCCCTTAATAAAGGATAATGCAGGCTATATAACTTTTTCATGTGTACATGCATTTTATTTGGAATCAGCAGCACACACTGTGGTTATCTTCCCAAATTCTAGTTCCACTTCACTGGATCAATAAATATAAAGTGTATACTTGACATTCATAAAAAAAAGTTACAAGACCACAATGGTTTTGGAATATTTTTCTTTTATTATTTTGCTGTTATCACTTGTCAGCTTGGAGCTTTGGAGAGAAAAAAATATAATGATTAATACATTGTGTTACAGTCATGGTTACAGTATGAACTGAAGTCACTTACTTCTCTTTCTAGTTTCTGGATTTCCAGTTCTAGTTTCCTCAGTGTCTTGTGTTTAATTTGCATCTCAAGGTCCATGTCCTGCAGCTTTCTTTTGTTCACATCAATCTTGACTTCTGTCAGCTCGATCTGTCTCTTTAGATGGGTTGTGTAGAGATATCTGACAGTTTGTGAATTCTGTGAAGACCTTTTAGTTAGCATAGCAGAATTTTGGCATAATGTAAATTTACTTTAGGCAATACGCACTATGTTACCAGGCTGCTTATCAGGTTGCCCAATGTCAGGATCCTGTAACAAATAATATTTTCTATTAGTACCACTTCCCTGACTTCTTATCTATTATGAACTTATAAAAAAATGTGTCTATTTTCACAAAATACCTCGAGCCTTCTGGAGTCCAGCGACACGGTCTCATCATCGGCAGAAGTGCACTCCACTGCTGTAGATGTGGCTTCCCTCTGCCATTTCAATACTTGTATTGATATTTTTTGACAGGACATGCAAAGCCTATGATTTAATAAAGAGTACTCACCGGCAAATCATAGTCTGTTGGCTCCAAAAGTGTAAGGGTGCTACCAGCCACTATAAGGCAAAGTCACACAGTTTACAAAACAAAATATATATGGATTTCAATATTTTCCATGTGCAGTTGTATGGCAATAATGTACTTTGTATGAAGAGGCCAGTATCCCTTGCTGGGCCAGAGTCAGTGGATGTCCCTCCCTGGATCCCTTCAATCACTGGCTTCCCTTTATTTAGGTCCAGGGCCAGCTCCTCTGCTGGGGTGAAGTCTTGGGTTGGAGGGCCACCCCCCGTACCAGATATATGACTTTTTTTTTTATTGCTAAAATCAGCACAGACAATAAAATGTCAGCAAACATGTCACCTATGTTCTCCGCAAACAAGTCACTTACCAGCCTGCAAAATATTCTTGTATTTAATCTTGACTTGCTGCCAAGTCCTTTTTTGGCCAGACATGTTTGTTCTTTAAGAGGAATAGATACAAATGATAAAATAGATTAGATGGATAAAAATAGAGCAAAATATCTGATTATAGATTACATCAAATCAATTAAAAACAAAACCTACATACAAATAGATAAGAGTAAAAAGATTAAAGAGATAATAGACATAAAATAAACTAAATAGATACACATAGTGGGTAAGTGTTTGCAATTATTCTTCATGTTAAATGCATGTTCACTGGTCACATTTAAGGCAAAGTATACAATTATTTTTGAAAATGACAAGTAACTCCTTGAATTGTAATTATGAGGGTTTCAGTGGAGCACTGGTTATTTGGACTACTTACGCATTCAATCGGTCCGCTATTGTTTGCCATGCATTCTCTCTTTGTTTTATTACAGCAGCTGTATTGCCTTTTTTACATATTATATGTTTCACTTCTTCATACGTTTCCATAAGAAGCTGTTGCTCATTAGGCGAAAAGTATGCCGCACGCGTTTTGTCCATTTTCGGATCGGTGATTCTGTGATCGATTTCGTGATCTTTTAAAGAATGCCGTGAACGTGCATTTATCCAAACTATATACACCTGGCTTGACATATCCGCGCGTTCTCATCCTGGCTCAGCAAACGTGCAACGGATTAAGCCAGGATGCACTGATTAAACTAGGTCAAGCCGGGACTGGTCTTTTATCCTGGCTTTCTTAATTCTACTTTTGTGCAATACCCCTCTGGAGACCTTATATTGTGTTTATTTACATGTAATATTGCCATTTTTCCCAAAAGCATCAAAACTCATCTCTTGTGTAAACACTTAACTGCATATGGCTGGGGAAAAAAATATTCTATGCTTTCACTTTTTCTTAATCTCTCCCTGTTCAAGCTTGTACTATTCCGAACAATGCTCGAAACTTCGTATTGTTAGCACTTTTCATGTTTTTACCTCCTTAAAAATGAATCACTTATTGTATTCCACATTTCTAAAACATAATTTTGTTTTCAATGTATTGTTGAATAACACATATTTGTGTTTAATGTATAAAATGTCATAAAGATCATGTATTTTTGAGTAGTGCTTTTTACTTTATCATAAGTTTGTAGTATGAATTACCAAGTTTGTAGTGCTGTCTTTAGTTTGTGCACTCGTTTTCATGTTAACAATTCACGTTCTTGAATATAGTGTGAATTGAAAGCTTAATCAAAAGCTAAACAAATGATTTCTTCTATTCAGTTCAGCCCTGTATCACCCCAAAATGTCCAACTTTTAAATCTGTCAATGGACAGCAGACTGATCTCAAATCAGCATAGCAAATTATGTTTGTAATATAAACAATGATGTAAAAAAAAGAGTCTGAACATAGATAAACAAAATTTATTGATAGCCTAATAGCATCAAACAAAAAAAAAACCTAGAGAATTATGTTAATAGACGTGAACAAGCATGGGTTATTAGTAGGTACATTCAGTCTCTGAGTTTCACTGGATAAGACTAGTGTCCCAACGGAGTTATAATCCATTTAGGCCTTCCCAACCGCTTGACCCTGAGCCCGCTGGTACTCCTGCTGTAGGCTGGACAGAACTTCCCGATGCTGATCCGACTTCTTTTCCATCTCCTTCAGTAAAGTTTCATAGCGCTGACTGAGATGAAGAGGAGATCAGTTAGTGATTGGCCTATGTGAACTACTCACTCATTTACAACAGAATCAAATGCAATATGAGTGGCCCCTATTCATACATACATTTCACCATTGATGTATTCCAATCTCTTGCCCACTGTTGCTTTGGCTTCATCTAGATCTTGTTTGACCAGAACTGGTCCAATTAGTTTGTAAATTGTATTTTGGCAATCCAACAAGGCAAGCTCCTACAGAGGGATGACATATGTGGTAAACCATACATAGCAAACATAAATAAATGAACATGCAAATGTATAAGATATTTGTATTGTAATTGTATTCTTACCTCCTTAACAATATTATTTTCAGTCAACTGTGCCTCCAGTTTCTGTCGTGCTGACATACTTTTACTGACATCTGCGAAAATAGTTAATAGTATCTATATTCACAATAAAGAAATGAGAGAAAGGACATTTTTGTATGCGCAAAAAATGCAAAGCAAACCCATTTAAAATATGCACTACTTGAATCTAAAACGTTTAAACACACACTAAATGAAAAACGCTTCTTTATTGAGTAAGCAGATCACTATGACAGCTCTGAACAGGTGCTGAATAACTAAATCAAGTCCAATTTGAGAAACTGACAGTAACATACAGACACTTCTCAGTGCGTTGTAAAATATATATCAAATAAATACAATTTTATGAAAATGGATGTTAATATGCACATGCAGAGAGTGTTGAAAGGATTGCTAACATGGATAGCTAGCGTTGTGATGTATACCTTTTTGCAGTAGTTGATATTTCTCCAACTCAGACTGTAATTTCTTCTGAATCACTTCAGCCATCACAACAGTTATTCTGATTTCGGATCACTTTTTATCTGGATAACTAAAAACAAAAATATATATCTTACAACAAAAGCAGTCAGCAGCACACGGATCATACAGTCTGTCTGGGGCGCAGAGGAAATGACGCAATGTTCTTCATGTTTTGACCATAGACTGTAAAAAATGGTTTTGACAGTGTCACTTCGCCATCTAGTGTTGAAATGAAGCGTAATTATACTGTTCGGTTTTTCATTTTCGCCCCTTCAAAAAAAAGTCTTGAAATGGCCATTATTCAGGAAATTATAGTTTTTCCTCATTTACTTACCAATATATTAAAATATGTTATGTAGTGGTCAATATAAATAATTTTCATAATAAACACTAGATTCCACCAATATTTATAGTCGTAGTCCTCCTCCTGTCCATATGGGGCAGTCTATCTGCTTTCATCAAACCACCGGAAGTGATAGTAAAGCCAATATGGCAGCGCGCATGGTTCAAATACAAACGTGAAGGTCTTTTTCGCTTGTACGTGAACACATATTATCCCACTTGCTGGTAATGTGAATTTCATTATTCTTTGTATCACAATCAAATGTATCGTTTGTTTTAAATATGTACCTGAAGCTGCTTATTAACCATCGATTAACGTGCTATATGCATGCAATGATGTATATTATTATTATTATTGTTATTATAACGACCTTTTCTTTTAAAAGTTCCATTCTTTTAACAACTGTAACCGGTGTAAAGTACTACTCAATCCTTGAGTTCTACTGTTTCATAATGTCAGTCACTTGTTAAAAATTGGGCTCTGTGTTTTCCCACTATAACGTGACCACTGATATCTTCACTTATATTTATGTTTGCATGTACTAAATATGTCAGTGTAATGTGTATTATTACACTATTCACTTTTTTTTTTAGCATGAAATTAAGTCACTCTGCACTTTCATTTAGAGACTCTCTTCTTCTTTTTGTCCTTTCAGACTCAAAAGTAAATTTTGGTCACTGATGTTACTGGTGGTGGGATTAAAGGGATAATTCCCCCAAAAATTATTTATTCACCCTCAAGTTGTTCCAAATCTGTATGAGTTTCTTTCTTCTGTTGAACACAAAATAAGATATTTGGAAGAATGTTGGTAACCAGACGGTTGATGGCACCCATTGACTTCCATAGTTTTTTTTTTTTTTTTTCTGCTATGGAAGTCAATGGCTACTGTCAACTTTCATTTTTGGGTGGACTGTCCCTTTAAATGGATTATTTGTATTATACTGGAATATTTCCATTAACCAGTAACACCAGAGGTCACCATATGGGTAATTCTGTGTCAACTCAACCAGAGGTCCCTGGCTCAAATCTTTGATTTTGGTAATATTTTTCCTATAGACAAACATAAATAGTGATGTAAGCCAAAATATTAAATGTCACAGGTGTATATTTGCTGGGTAATTCACTATTTTGTAGAGGGGGGTCAAAATGACAATTTTCACCTGAGATTTGGAAGCAAATTACAGGGGGGTTAAAATGACTTTAGAAAGATGGCAGCATGATTATTTTATTTATGCACAGAGATTGGTAGGTATATTAGTTAAATCTGTTGACTTTTGACAGTTCAAAAAAATGGCAAAAAGCACTGCTTGTGTTTTTTTGCCTCAAGTTTGCATGTAATGCCTTTTAAATTTAGCGTTTTTCTATAAGCTCAATTGCATATAGCATACCTGTGTGAGTGCCATAAATATTATTTTTCTAAAGTTTGCATGCCCGTAACTCGAAGTATTGAAGATATCTTATACCCTTCTAGATTCTCATTCTTAATAAACTTTTCTTTTGAAATCTTCAATTTTAGGGCCCTAGTTCTTCAGTCCCATAGATATGGGTATCTCAAAGCAAACCATGTACAAATTGTTGAATTGTACCCATTTTCAATGGTCAAGAAACATGTAGATGTAGATAGCACTTTTTAAACAGATAGTTATTGTGCTAAATGTCTGAAAAACAAATACTGAAACTAGAAATCTTGTTCCCCTCTATTAAAACAATTGAATGCAACACACCAGAAACAAAAACAAAAATGCCAGAAACAAAACAAAAATCAGAATCTTTAGTCAAAAGTCTTTAATTCAAGAAGTGTTAAAGATAGGCCTATCTTATTGCCATTTTAGATTATTTTTCTTATGAAACCTTTCTTTTGGAATCTTAATTTTTAAGGCCCTTTATGGTTCATTCTCATAGATATAGTGATGTCAATGCAGTAACGTATAGTTCTGATACTGTGTATTTGAACTCTTGGTAGCTTCAGAAGCTGTTAAAATGGACAAAAATCCCATCTTCCAAATATCCCTAAAACTGATTCAAATATAGATTCTTATAAATAAACTTTTGAGAGCAGGTTAATCAACCATTTTCAGTTGATTTTCTCAGAGTAATGTTTTATGCAATTCTTTTGATAGAGGGAAACGAGATACATTTCTTGTTTAAACATTATTTAATCTTCAGACATTCCACTTTAAATGCAATAAGTATCAGCTGTGTGTGCAAAGTGAACCACATTTGGTTTTCAGTCACTGAAAATTCAATAATTTGAACATGGAGCTGCTTTGAGATCTCCATATCTATGGGACTGACTGAACTATATAGGGCCTTGAAAATGAAGATTAAAAAAAAAAAAAAAGGTCATTAAGAATGAGAATCTAAAAGGTTATAGGTGTTCTATGCAATTGTGTTGATTGAAAAACACGAGATACATTTCTAGTTTCAACATTATTTGTTCTTCAGATATTCCTCTTTAAAAGAAAAAAAATATCAGCTGTATGCATTGCAAAGTGACCCACATTTGGTTTTTGACCATTGAAAATGTGTAGAATTTACTCATGGAGTCACATTAAGATCTTCATATCTCTGGGATTGAACCATTGAGGGCCTTTAAAATGAAAATACCAAAAGAAAAGTTTAAAAACCAGAATCTTAAAGGATATTAAGATATATTTAATACTTCTTGAGTTACACATGCATGCAAACTTTAAGCAAAAAAAACACAGGCAGTGTTTTTTGCAAAATTTTTTTTTTAGAACTGTCACCTTTGGCATAAAGTTAACAGATTTAAGTAATAGACCTACCAATCTCTGTGCATAAATAAAATAATGATGCTGCCATCTTTCTAAAGTGATTTTTACCCCACTGTAATTTGTTTCCAAATCTCAGGTGAAAATTTTCATTTTGACCCCCCTCTACAAAATAGTGGATTACTCAGCAAATATACACCTTGGCTTTCATCATTATTTATGTTTGTCTTTGTACAGAAAAAATATTAACAAAATCAAAAATTAGAGCCGGGGAAGTTTCCAAAATTTGGTTGATTTGACACGGAATGACCGTGGATGTTTTTATAAGTTAGTGTTTATGATAGTGTACTTTTGTGTCGTAGTAATGTAATGTTAATCAAGAATACATAAATTTGAAAAGTCAGATTCTTATGTAGATAACATTTTATGAGTTGATTCAGAGTGACAGATTGTTTTGTGCAGGAGTGGTAGCATAATAGTCGCCATTAAATGTAAGTTGCGAAAGTCTTCTTTCTTATTGTAGCGTGAAAAAGCTTTTAAAACAAGAAAAAATGTTGGGCAGGTCTTGATTTTGTCCATTAGGAATTGATTGGATTGTTGTTTTGCTATTGCTGTGATGTCATAATGAGTGACAGGTTGTCCCGCCTTCACACCAGTAAACAGATCAGAGAAAAGATGTCGGTTAAAGATTACTAGGGCACGTGAATAAAATGTGCATGTAAATACTGCAATATTCCATAAAATAATAAGAATTGTCAATTTTGATTTTATGATTTAGAGCTGGTTGTTGTAAAAGACTCGATTTTGACACTGTATAGCAAACCTGTTTTGTGAAAGAGCCTGAGAAAGTGCTCAGTGCTGTTGCTCATTTTACATGCCAAGAGAGGCCTTTCTTAAAGACAGCACAAAAAAAAGGATTGCTTTATTCTGATGGTCAGAGAGAGAATGGAATATGATCATTCAAAACTAAAATGGAACTATTTTTAGTACTGACTAACATTCTACAGTTTACCTCTGGGTAAAAAGAGGAAAAATTGTGATACTAATCAGAAACCTGACCTAAACTAAATTCTCTGGAATTAGTGCTAATTTGAATCATGAGTCATGACATTCCCACATGTTGATAATATTGTTTTTAAATTTGTTCATTTAAGCAAGTGCTGATGAGTGTGATAATGGCATTACATTTGACACGGTGATACTTCACTGTCATTTGAGTGTTCCCCCTTTTTTCTAGTTTGCTGTTGTAAATTAGGTGGTAGTTTAGCTCTTTGCTGAGGTTATCACAAATTGCACTCTGCGGTGTTGTCAAAAATCAATATGCACCTGGAGGGTATCAGAGGAATTGAGCAGAATTCTGAAACACCAGCCTGCTCACTGAATTGCGACGTCTGTTGCACCGTTGTTTGTTATTGAGAAGAGAACAACAGAATCTCAGTTTTGTATCTTGTTCTCAAATCATTTAATTGCTTTAGTGTGGAGAGCACATGTTTTCATTCACTGTTGTAAGCTTTTTGCGAAAGCCAATTTTCCCGTATCTTCCCATTTTATGCAAAACGCAAGCTGGTCGAAGAAACTAAATCACTTTACCAGTCATTTCTGTTATGCATTAATGTTTTATTAGTTTCCTCCATTTATTTTCCAGCTTTTGTCTACTTTGCGAAAACGACAATTGCTTGTTCAGCAGTATTCTAAATGGCTATTCTTGCCTCAACAAACATGTTTTCCCATGTCTGCAAGTTCAATTTGTCTCAAACCAAAAACAGATATATCAAGAGAGAGTTAGAATCTAAATGAACTGGCTTGCTTTCAAAAGTTGGGCTGTAAATCTATATATGTAAATGTGAAACTGCAGAGGGAATGATTTTGAGGTTCTTAAATCACTTCATAAAGAGAGTCCTGTCTCTCTTTGTGATCTTAAATCAGGAATGATGTAGCCCTGCTAATGCCATTGACTCCCTTGAGTGTTTCATTTTCCATAAACCGGGTTTTATCCCTTTGATCTGAAGTTTGAACAGAACAGCGGTGAGGTTTTTCTTGTACTATGGCTTTCTCTGAATTTGCATTAAGATATTAATTCTT